ACTCTATTAGCCTTTGCCCTGTTTCATTTTGTGCTCCAAGGCCAAACTTGCCTGTTATTCCATCTTAACTTCTGTCAAATATGTGTTGCTTCTAATCTTTATTATATACAATTGAAACCATTTACTTGATCAGTTGTCAGAAATATTTTTCTTCGATGTATTTTCAGAGTTTGCATTCGCTCTCGTTGTTGGGATGCCTGTATGGTAGTAGATGGAGGAACATCATTTGAATTTAATGATGGAGCAATAGCATCAATATTAATCAATACAGAAGATGCACTGCGTACTGTTTTGCTAGAAGACTGAAGATGTAGTTGAAATTATTCAAAACTCATCACAAAGAAATGAGCTGCATCAATTCAAATGTGAAAATAGTTCTTTACAGACGTTTGGGAAACAAAGTTTGAAATGACTTTTCATTCCTTCTGAATGAAACCCCTGGAAAATCAGTGTTTGTCATTTATTGCATCTTGTAATATGAAATTTAATTGGTTTATATCTTAGACCAACAAAGTTATTAGCCCTTAAAAGCTTGATTCCACAGAATGCTTTTTAAATGAAGGTGAGTCAAATCAAATTGGTATTAAACTGTAGACTTCCATGGAAGTAGTATAGTACTGATTCAGCAAAATACCTTGGGACTATTTCAGTTTTTAAAGCAAATACTATCAAAATTAATTAATCTAAAAATGTTTGGCCATAGTTCAGTGTGTTACCCAAGAATTTTTAGTAACACTTTTGTATGCACAAAGAACTTTAGTTTTTTAATACAGCATGTTTGAAGTAGGATTCATTACTATTCTTCTATTACAGTCTAATATTCATACCTGAACTCCAAGAATATCTTACTTCTAAACTATCTTTCCATTTACAGTTGTGTTTTCCGTATCATACTGAACTGGCTACTGAATTTCCAGTATTCCTCTACCCCAGCCCACACCCAAGCATGTAGACTTAAATAGACTTAACTTAGGCTTACTTAAAAATCAAGAGCTTTTTAAATTGGGTCCTGGAACAGACACGAAACATGTGACTCCTCTTGTATTCTAAGAAATTCTGCCCTAGGAAGGGCAGTTGGTTCTTTGGATGGGGCTACCACAAGAAGAAGTAATGATGGAGCTGAGTGTTGGCTAGCTTAATTGTCTGCTCTACTTCCAAGGACAGATGCTCTGTTAAGTAGGTTCTAAGATAGCAAAGAAACACAGTATCATTCCTTTAAAAGTTTAACTGTATATTTGTGTTATAAAATGAATATAGTAATGTCTACCTATCAAGTGCAAAAATATTCATGCATTTTGAAAACTACTTGTTTTCACAATCTTTAAAGCATATGCATGAACAGTTTCAGGAAATTGGAACATTTTCTTCATAGTATGTATATGATATCCAATATTATACAAACCCCACAGTGTTTTCCCACTCAGGGATAGAATCTTCTCCTTTGCATTCCTCCCAAATCATCTCTAGAAGTTTCCCCTAGTTCTCAAGAACTTTGTGCCTGGGAGATGCAAAATGGAGAGATTTATTTGACCCTCTCCTAGTTCTAGTCATAGAAACTGTTTCTTAGCAGAATTGAATTCCCCTCATCACATTTTACTTGGCAAACTACAGAATTGTGACCACTGCCAACTTATTTTCCTTTGTTAATTTCAGGTAGCTACTGTATACAAAAGTCTTTCAAAGATAGTATTCAGTAGTATATTATGACACTACTTAAACCAAGGTATATTGCAGATTGGCTGCCACTAAAAAGAATCACTCTTGCTGGTTTTAATGGCATTTTGAGAATGTTACAGAATGCATTAGCTGTTTATATTTGAAATAATGATAATTAACATGCAGTGTGAGACAACTAAATGGTGAATCTTTTTTCTAATTACACAGTACTGTAAAATCCTTAAATAACTTTATATCTTCAGGGCTTAACGTGAAGAGTTAAGAAAATTGAAAATTAGTTTTACAAAGGTTGTGTTCAATTTGCTACACCAGAATGACCTCAAGCCTTTTAGAGGACAAAGTGACAGTGAAAAAACCCCTGAAAATACATGTCAGGCTTTTATCATGGAAAGCTTCTAAGCCTTTCAGTTGAAGTGTGAGATCATCTATTTACATGTCTGTGATTGGGAAGCTGAGATGAGTGGGACTTTGTTTCAAGTAAATAACTTTAAAACAGCAAGAAGGAAATAAAACCAGGATGAATATACTCTGTAATTGTTAGTTTGAAATTAAGGAAGTTGTAAAATTTGTTCTGCGTACTCACAGTTTGTTTTGTGATCTTCAGGTTCTAAACTTGACATTGTTAATTTGGGAGTATGGGCAGCTTTAACATGAAGATGTTTTCCTTCTTCCCCAGTATGCTCATAAATCTGTGCGTAAGTCTTGGGCTCTCTGTGGTAGGTTTCCCAACCTTTCTAGATCAGTGGAGGCATTTGGAATTTTGAGACCATGCCAATATCTGCCTTGGATGGTGACTGTTCTCAACATGTCTGCCGTGATGGCCATAGTCAGCCATGTACAAGAAGGCAAATTGGTGAAGTTGCTTTCTTAGGTAGGTGTGCAGATGTTTTCAACAAAACACTTGGCTCCAGTTGCACACTTTCCAGATTGTTTATGTGCCTATGTGCAGCTAAGAGGCATTTTTTGTATGTAAAGATGATGTTAGAAATTGACTCTTTGATTTGCAACTTCTTTTTGTTCTCTCTCTCATTAAAAAGATACATTAAAAATTTAAAGTCAGCTGGAGCTGGGAGCTTTGAGGAGGGAGGTGCTAAGGGAGATGCCTATGGCAAACTGTTGATAGGGCCTACTAAAAATCTGAATGGTAGTGTTCTCACTGCAAATGGATCATCACATTGAAAATTGCTGTCCCATTTTCTTAAATTACGCCAGTGATGAAGGGTTAAGAAGAGTACCATTGTCCATTAGATAAAAAGATGGAAGGAGAAGCTATCCTTTGAAATGATGTGATCTAAAATTTGGATTGTACTTGCTATTTTGTATATGCAGTGTTCTTGGATGCCTTTTAAAAGAAAAAAATAGCAGAGAGAGATATCATAGTGGGCTTTTTGAGTCCTGCCAAAGATTTAAAAACTTTAGCGTTCTTTGTGAATAAGCAGCCATCCTCCTTTATCATCTGGCTCACCAGCTCCCTCTTCAAAAGCCTTACTAGGAGCATCTTTGACCACAAGATGCTCCTAGTAAGCCTCCCATCAGCCTTTGGGAGCACCGACTACTCCTTTTTGGTGTACGCTATCAGAGAGCCATGTCTTACAGGAAAAGCGTTTTCTGAACTCAAACCCTGCTCCCAAACATGCTAAATCACATTTTTTTGCTTTCAAAGGGGTAAAGGAAGGAGAGAGAGACATATGTTGAGCGCTGCTCCAAACGAGATACATCTCACTCCAAAGCCTCCTTTCAGATGCACCTGCCCATCCCTGCTCTGGCTATTCTATTTTGGAGGGGGGAGTTGTAAGACGTCAGTACTCCAAACTAAATGTTAATTTGGGACAGCAATAATTCCCTAATTTTAAAGCAGAAAGCAACTTGGAGGGAAGGGGGGAAAAGGATATTGGCTACTTTGATTGGGAAAAGTTATAAAAGGGTTAAACCTATTCCAAGCTTAGTCTACTTTTCCTTCTCCCTGTTTTCCCCATAGGTTGTTTATGTGCCAAGCAAATAGGGGCTTGTGGGGATTACAGTACAGGAGAGGAAGGGTTAACTCTTTCATCAAATTACGTTCCCCCCCCCTTTTTTTTAGTGGGTGTGTTTGCACAACATGCTTAACCCAGACAGCTGTAGTAGCCCAGTCATAGCTCCTTGCTGCTAATTTGGCAGTACATAACCATGCCAACTGCGTCAAGAGCTGACATTTTGGGGAATACAAAATCCACACTAAATTCCAAGCCTGCCTGATATCACATCAGTGTCTGTACAAGGGTGTTGGCAAAGCTTTATCTGTCTCCCATTCCCTACTGGTCAGGCAGGCAGCAGTGGGAATGGCTTGTGGGCTGTAGACAATCAGCATTTAGACTATATTTACTGTAGTACATTTTGAAAGAGTCATCTTTGTTTTGGGTCAAATTTTTGGGAAGACTAGAAGTGACTTGCAGTAGCCCAAAAATGAATGGGTTTCTGTTTGCACAGTATGGCCTCACCAGGGAAAGGTGCTTTGGGGCTAGAAAAAGCCCTCTGCTAACCCTCAACTGGCTGAGTTTCTGGATTTGTTGAATAAACTTTCCTAATGATGTAGTTAAACGTGTTGCCAAATGCCATTAATTTTTTTTTTTTTTAATGAGTATCAAAGAAACAGTTGAGCGACCAACTATAGATTTTCCGGCCATGATAATTAACAGTAATGACAATAAGGTGAAAACAAGACAATCTTTAAAAAGATTATTCTATTTTAAGAAAATGCCTTTGTGCCAAAATTACTAAAACAAATAATGTTGGTATGACAAAAATAGTTGAATGTGCACAAATCAAAGTCAACATAATATAACTATGCCCTCTTTTCCCAAAATTGTTTTATTTAAAATAATGTATGCTGTGGTTAGCAAATTAAATCTAATAAATGTGAGTGAGTATTTTCTTGCTTTTTTAACTACTTTGTATGCCACTGACATGTAGAGAAACAGAAAATACATTTTAGAATGTTAGGTTGCTATTTTTTTGCTACTTGGATTTCCCTTATTGATTTGCCTTCTTAAGGGCAATTTAGTTGTATATTAACTAGATGCCTTTATCTTGCTACTGCTTTGTCCGCAGAAGAAATCTTTCAGGTATGCAAGGAAATATGGAGACTCTGAAAAGGACTTTTTTCTCCTTACAATTTTGGTTTATAATAGTTATTTTTTGCTGTTGTGACAGGATGGGCAATAATAATAGCAGAAGTTCAAATTATATTTAAAAAATAGTTCTCCAGATTATATGAATATTGCAGTGCAACCAGAAAAAAGGGAAAGCTCTGATCCTATTTGTGTTAAGCTCTTACATTTACATTCCTATATGTAGTACAGGTCCTTGGTTAACAACCACTTGTTCAGTGACCTTTTGAAGTTACGATGGCACTGAATGAGTGGCGGTTATGACCGTTCCTCGAATTTCTGGCTGTCCCAGCACCCCTGCGGTCATGTGATCACAATCTAGGCACTTGACAACCACCTCCACGGTTGCAGTGTTCCACAGTCATGTGATTGCAATTTGCAGCTTCCCTGCCAGCTTCCCACAAGCAGTCAATGGGGAAGCCGGCAGGAAGTTGCAAAAGGTGCTCGCTTAATGATCCGCAATCGTCACTTAATCACAGCAATGGGAACTACAGGGATTGCTGTCACTAAGTGATGTGGTCTTGGGACGTCACAGTTTACGAATGTATCACTTAGCGATGGAAATTCTCAATTGCAGTTGTACCCGTATAACAATTGGCAGCATCTAGCTGGTGTTGGTTGTACCCAATTAGTATTGAGATAGAAGACAACAGGAAATCCCAGGGCTGTAAACTAAACAGAGAAAGCAAAAAATATGTCCATGTTGTTTCCAGGAGATAAAAACCAGAATTAGATTGTGAGATAAAGACCAGAATCTTTATCTTAAGTACATCAGCACAAATACATCCTGCACCCTGCAACAACAACTGGCATGGATAAAACACAGAATATGAAAACTTGAACAAGTTTTATTAACACGAGCTACTTTTTAAAAAATATATATATCCACAAGGAGGGAGTGCATATTTATTGCATGCCAGCTATTTGTGCATGATTAGCATTTCTTGGATAGGCCTCAGTAAAAGTAGTGGAAAATAAAACAGAAAAAATACAACTGGTAAAACACTTGATAGCATTTGGTCATAAACTGATGAAACCAGGTCCGTAACTGCAAATTGTCAAGTTAGAATGGAATGAGAGAACCACACGGTTAAGGCTTGAGGAGCTAATATTGCTGTTGCTAGAAGTCTGAAAGTGTCATTTGGGATGTATTAAACACCAGCTGGATTTCTCAAGTTCAGTCTGCACTGGATTCCCCAAATCTCTTCATTCTTTTTGCAGCCAATGCTGGGTCTTGCAATAGGTGTGAAACAGGAGGTATTAATCTTTATATGAGGAAGCGTCACTTTTAAGAGCTGTAGGGAACTGGGAGTCACTATTCCAAAAACCTGCAGCGTTTTGAGTGTAGCTATCTCACCAAGTTCACTAAAAGAAAAATACATTTAAATCAGCAGAATAATTCACTTAGCTAGTGCAGTTTTTCACAAGTTCAGTACTGAGTGACTGGCGGCATACCCCATAGAATAACAGCTGGGACTTAACTCTTCTCTAAATTCAGGGGCAAGTTGGAAACGTAATAATTTAATACTTCTGTACATTCTATAAATACTAAGTTATTTGCAAGTGTGTTCATTCTAACATTTATTTAGATGTGGGAAAGCAAGATACAAACAGCATTGCAGATTATCTTTTTATTACATATCTATACAGCACTATAAAACTACTCAGGCAGTAGTTTTACCATTCTCCGGTTAGGCTATGCAGTTTAAAAATGTGCTGTACATCACCTTTGGGGAATTTACCCTAATAAGTGGCTAACTGATCATTTAAGAAGTTATCCACAGTGACAGTGAAAAAAGGGCCTTCTGACCCATGCATCTGCTTTATAATATTCTCTTAAGCATCTTCAACTTCAGACAGCAATCTGATGAGTGGAAGAGTTTAGCAGCAGCAGATAAAGTAACTATACTCTTGAGTAGGGCTGTGCACATTCTGAAGATGGTTCCAAAGAAAAGCTTTGGATCTTACATGCGCATGGTCCAAAGTGCATATTCCAAACCATTTTCAAAGCGTGCACAGCCCCACCCTTTAGTACAACCTAGGTAGTGTTTAGTCAGTTTTTCACTCAAAAAGTAAAAAGAAGAAAAGGTAAGATATCCTGCCCCTTTTTTATACCAAATCCAGTTTTTCCCAGTTAGAAATACCAAAATCTAAAACAACTGTCAGTCATATTTTTCCAGAATGTGCAGAGGGAGGAACGGGCATTCCAGCTGATTTTTGTCACATTTCTTTCTGCCAGTCTCAGGCCAATGTATCCTTCCAACTAATGCATAAAGAACTAAAGCTACCATAAAAATGCTGAGACATAATTGATCTGTGTGGCCTCAGTCCACGCGTTCTGGGTTATATTTCTTAATAAAAGGGAAACTTCCTTCAGTTACACTTTCTGGCATTCAGGAGACCTCTGGTGGAAACTGGGTAAATGACAATGGCAGAAGAAACTAAAGATCCCCTCTTTGAAAGGAGGATCACTAGTGGCCCTAGTCAAAAATAGCAATTAAATAAGCAATAAAAGGAAAGGAAGAAAGCAGATAAAGGCATACACTGAAAAATCAGAAAGTGGAATATTTACGAAGGGCATTCTGGAACCTGGTCTCAAAGTTTTAGATCTGAATAACCTATTTGTTAATGCCAAGAACAGATTTTTTTTTTTACATGCTTTCTTATAAAGAACTACACACATCAGAATACACAAAAAAGTGCCACTTGGATAAAGCTGGAAGGATTTATAATAATCAGCCTGCATTTTTTAAAACTACAATAAACTATCACAAGTTGTTTATATTCACAGGGAAATCCTGTGCAGTACAAAATTTCAACTATAATGACTCACAGAAACTTAGCTTTTGTGGGATTAACTCTCAGACAATTTTAGCACTGCTTAGCTTTTCAAAAATCAATTTTGATATTGTCAAAAATTACTCACAGTAAAGCAACAGGAGGTATTTGATAGCATCGGCTAAGACCTAAGTGTTCAAGGTGTGTGAGCTGGTGGAAGTACACAAAGCATTCGGGCTTCAACATACCAGAGTCACTGTAATGAAAGTATTTAAGAAATTTTTTACTTTCCATTTATTGAAGACCTGAGGCCCTATAAAATAGATTTTATTTAATTCTGAAGGTGCATAGTCACTTAACTCAGTACTATTATTGTCAAACAAGTTTATCTGAAATGATTGGAAGAACAAAGAAGTCTTATGTTTATTGATTTTTTTTAAAGGAACCCAGCTTCCTTCATAATGAGATCATGTTAACTGAACCCCCAAATTGTGTCTTGCTAACTCAGGTTGTAAGGTTTAATGTGTTGTGAGCCTTGGGTCTCAGCCTGTCTTACTGAAGTCTATGAGACAAAGTAAGGTGGTTGCTTTCAGGAACATGACAAAGAAAAAAAATGGGAAGGGAATCTATTTCTCCATCTAGAATCCCAGATGACCCCTAGGGCAAAGCATTTTGCAAACTATTCTCAGTGCCTCTTTCCAACAGACAAGCCTTTCAGCAATAACTGTTTCCTACTTGATACCTATGAATGTAACACCTTGTTTCTGCCCAGTAGAAAATGAAGTAGAGATCTCTGGTTTTATTATGACTGAAGTAGAGATCTCTGGTTTTATTATGACAGATGACAGCACCTAAAGGACCGTGCCAAGCAGGGTTCATGTGGTAAATACTTAATGGCAGTTCACCTGGAGATCCCAGGACTGCAGACAAGACTGGGAAGTTGAAAAAAACATTCCAGAGAAAGGCAATAGCAAACTACTTCTGTTTGGTTTCCAAGAGAACCACATGGTCATATCCATGCAGTCCCCAGGAATCACATTTTGAGGAAGTATTTATTTTTATGATTAATGTGCCATATTACAATCTTCTTCTAGTATTATGATAGATCCTAAATCATATACTTTAGCAAAGTGATTTATAGGTTTTGGTAAGCATGCTTACAATGAGCGTGGTAAGCAAAATGCCTTCCCTTCCAACTTAGAAACTGCAGAGGTGACTGGGGATTGGAAGCATGCTTGCCTTCTCCTTTGCAAGAATAATTTATTTACAGTTGGAGCAAAGACGCTGCTCCAACAAGCAGTGGGTAATTGAGCTAGAAGGACCAACTCAGAACTGTATACTTGTAATACAGACTTAGACACTTAAATGTACTCCAATGTTAATCTATTGCTTACACATGGCATACGATGCATTTTGATTCAATCCAGCATAACTTTTTTATTTATGCTACAGCACAAGGCTTTCAAAGATACAAAAAACTATTCAGTCACATTTGCAAGTAAGTACTTACCTTAAATCTAAATGGATTAGACCAGAACATCTCTCTAGTAATGTTTTAACATCTGAAAATGAAAAGCCAAATATAATCTGTCATTCATACCTACTCAGTAGCACTGTCCAGTGTATGACCTTACAAAAATGCCATAAATTACTTGGCTAGAAATACGTTCTCTACTGGGATATGGGTTTTCTTGAAAGGCTGCTTTAGTTTAACACATTTTACATACTAGAAAACACAACATTTATACAGTCAATTCCCAGTAATTTTCACTGCAGTGGAATTCTGCAGGACAGGGTCCATCAATGCAGCACCAGTGCCATATTATCTGCAAAGCCCTAGGATATCTGAACTATCCAGAAAACAAATACACAAAGAGAGTGATTTAAAATTTGACAAGCTTGCCAGCTGTTGTGAAAGTTCATTATTTTTGCCAGAACTCTTGTGTCAGCAGGCAAAATTGTGTAATGATGCCCCTGAAAAAGCTGCTGTTTCCTACTGTATGAATTTACAGACATTACAGATTTGCCATCTATGCAATCGTTCAGAAAAGTCTAGTTTAGTTGAGAAGCAAACTCTAAGTACAGAGGACTTCTTTGTCCCCTGACTTAGACGGCCATCCAGATTGCCTTCTGGAAATGGCCCAGAGACATGAGTATGAGTTGTAGAGGTGATAAGGCTAATCAAGTATCTGCCACTTCTTCCATCATGAACGGTCCCATGGACACAGCCAAGTGGGCCATTCAACTGGGTGTACCTACAGTCCAACCACCACTTACTGGAAGCAACTCTGACCGTAGCTCAGTGACAGAGCTTGTGCTCTGCATATAAAAGTCTATGGTTCTATACTTGGCCTCTCCAGAAAGATCCAAGATAGTCTTATGCCCAGAATCCAGGCAGCTTCTGCTAGCCAGTGTAAATTATTATTATTGTTGGTAATCTACAATAATAATCTACATCTTTTTAAAGCAGCAGCAGGAAAAAAAAACAAAAACAAATTCAAAGTGATTAAGAAGTGCGGCTCAGTCGAGCTTTATGTCCTTTAAAAACGCTGCGTTAACAACTGTGAGGAAAGATGGTTCCTCCCTCGACTCCCAGCTGCTTGACCCTAGGCAAACTGCAAAATGACTATTCCTGTGGTTTACTCATGAGGAGCAGCTGTGCAGAGTCATGTGAGCTATCTCAAAGATCTCTCCTTAATCCGGAGAACATTTTGGTGGCCAGGATCCTGCATCATCTCTGTCATAATACTGTCCCATTGCAAAAAGGGACATATAGCTCGCCATGGCTGTCAACCGGAAGTCATCTCTGGGAAAGTTTTCTTCTTTTGTTGTTGTTGTTGTTATATTTTTATCTCATCTTTTTATTTAATAATATTTTATTTAATATTATCATTATTATATTTTTATCCCATCTTTTTTATATGTAACTCAAGGTGGCAAGCGTACTTAATACTCCTTCCTCCTCCTATTTTCCCCACAACAAAAATTTTGTGAGATGGGTTGGGCGTAGAGAGAGGGACTGGCCCAAAGTCACCCAGCCTGCTTCCATGCCTAAGGCAGGACTAGAACTCACCGTCTCCTGGTTTCTAGCTTGGTGCCTTCACCACTAGACCAAACTAGTTCTCTATTGGAGGAGAACAATATGAATAACATAAATACTATTGAGCTTAAGTGACTTAATACAAGGCAATTTCCTATGATCTTAGGAACGTAGCAATACATTTTTCAGCATACTTCTTTCCTATGTTCAGTGGGGAAAAGAGCTCTACCCACACATCGACATTTAAAACCAAAATGGCATCTTCTGAAATTAACTGGAAAACCACTGCAGTAGGAATATATTTATATGCATCTGCACTTTCATGTGCCTCTATTATCTCTTTTACGTATTGGAATAAAGTAAACCATAACATTGGTTCTGAATGTAGTAGAAGCTGTGTAAAAGCAGTATCCGAATCTCAGCAAGGGTTTGGATTCTGTCAATTTTGCTGACTCAAGGGCTATACCAGACTTTGAGAAGCATGTCAAGAAACCACAGTACAAAAAGCAGTTTAAGGCTTCTTTTAGCAGGTGGTGTCAAGATTTTAAGGAGAAAAATGGGTGGAAAACCAAACCCCAAAAACCTGCTTTATCACAAGATGAACGGTAGGTTATCTGGACTGTTTCAAACCAAAGCTTACCTGACATCAGGAGATTCTCTCTGTACCCACTAAGGTTTAGCTGCAACAGTTTGGGAGGAATGTGACTGACTACGATCTTCAAATGCTCAGCTGTGAAGTCACACCAGCCCAAGTTCAATTCTTCTAACCTACATATAAATGGAGAAGGAATACACTCTAAAAATTATCTATTAAATGAGAGTTTTGAAAGCATCTAAATATCTAGTTCTTGTATGGAAATACAGATATGAGACAGACTACTTTCAGTCTTCTAATTTGAAATCCAAGCATATAATGTCCCACTTTCATTTAATTTTTTATATCAAGAAAACGACAATGGCACTGAGGGCCAGTAGACTCAGAAATGGGAAAGAAAATTCACTCACACAACGCATTGGCTGGGTGTCACTGAGCTAAGCCATGGTTTAATTTAGGTTTGTTAAACCACAATGGCTGGCTTCACACACTGCACTGAACTGTGGCTGCAGCCTACAATGACTGGGTTCAAATTAACATGCTAAACTAAATTCAAACAAATATAGCGTAGCATGATGCATGAACCCAACTCTTCTGTATAAAATTTGCTGTTCTACCTAACAGAGCATTTCTATTAGCAAAACTGGGCTGTGGTGGATTTTTAAATTCCATTCTTCTACTGTCCCTGAAATCTACTCTGAGGTTTGGGGAATCCTTTGAACAGAAGGGAAAGTGGCACCAGGTCTGCAAAAAATGTGGAAATTGGCAAATGTCCTGGAGGAAATTCCGGGGCCATCCCATTTGGTATCATGCTGTAAAAATGATGAAACTCAGTCTATGGTCTCCCTTACACACTGGGCTATTTGTTCTTTCTAACCAAGATATCCTTCATTATGCACCATATGTATGAGTTTCCTGCAGCTGTGCACAAATGACCGTGTGGATGCCTAGATGACCTCTCAAAAAACCCCACAGTCACCTGTTCCTCTAATACAAACTCTGGATTGTTACTAGAGTTTCTACCCACAAATCCAGTTCAGAATGTTTAACCCTAGGCTAAATGCAATGCAATCTCTCATGCAAGTCACATTACCTTGGACAGCTTTTCAACATCACTTCCAAGGTATCTGCAGAGAACCCAGAACATCCAGATAAGTTCAGCCGGACCAAGCAGGAGTTTTGTGCTATACTTCTAAAAGAGAAAGAACAGAACAGAGTGTTCATACACTGCTAAATTAATCTGTCTGATCATACAGAGCAGGACTGCAGGGGAGGCTGAATGTACTCAAACTATTTCTAACGTGCAAGACCGGTTATGAATTTGCTGACTATTTATTTAATTTATATGCTGCTCTTCACAAAATCAAGCAGTTAATAGAATTAACAGAATAGAACAGCTCTTGGGAAGGAGAATGAGGCTTTATCTGTGTCCTCTAAGTGGAAGCAGTGGAGAAGGAAAGATCTAGAAATAAAATGCAAATTGCAAAAATAATTCTAAAAATCCTGCAGATTCAAAATCAACAGCAACGTCATCAAGCCCAAGCTTGAGCAAAGGAGTGTATCTTAAGCAATTGTTGAAACCGAAGGCTTTCCAAACTACTTTCTGAATAATCAGATGAATTATTAGACCAGACGTTTTAGACTGCAATCCTCAATACACTTACTTGAGAGTAAACCTTCCTGAAAATATAAGGGGACTCATTCCTGAGTACGCACACCCATACAATGGATCAGAGTCAGTTTTAGTTAGTTTTAGTCATACTTAAGCCTGGCTAGATGACAGATATCTTAGATGTTATAGAAAATAATCCTGAAAATGCAATCAGAAGTCACAAGATACAGTATGGATGTGATAGCTAGGACTGCTTTTACTGTCATGATCACTGGATTCACAACTACTCTGTGTTAGGAGAAATGCAGGCTATATACGCTACCCGCCAAAGGAGTTTTACATGTTTAGTTAAGGGTTCTTAAACAATTCTTTATTTTCAGTCACCTGGTCTCACAAACAGGTGTTGGGAAGTAGACTTTATCCTTGTCCTTTACATGGAAACACTGGAGAAGGAAAACTTATGGCTGAGATGGAAAGAGCTGGAGAACTGAAATAAACTTTTTTGCAAAAGAAGGGGCACGAAACTTTCTTCTTGCACAAGAAATGGGGGAGAAAGAAGTTGTATAGTACAAGGGGACACCAAACCAAATTTAGCCTGAATTTTTAAACATGGTGCAATTATGAAAGATTCCTAAGATTACCTTAATTGGAAGTTCAATTGCTCAACTGACTGAACCTGCGTACATCTTCATGTCAATGAAAGCAATATAATCCGTGCACACAGACCTTATCTTAAAAGAGGCATTCCCTTGGTGAATGAAAAAGCAGAAAGTCTTGTCTAAGATTATGCCTTTCATTCTCACCATTTATACAGTCTTACATTTCAAAATAATCAGCATTTTTAAAAATGCTGCTTTTTGAATATGATTTATCTACTACTAAAAAGTTTGTTAAGTGGATTAATGGACAGATCAATTCTAAAGAGGAGGAAAAGGAAGTAAGTGAGGTAGAAGAAAGGCTTCCATAAAGCCCTTTTGGCACAGGCTGACAGGATAGATGAGTACAGTAGTCCTTGCTTAATGATTGCCCTGTTTAGCGATTGTTCAAAGTTACGACAGCACTGAAAAAGTAACTTTACGACCTCGCCTTGTACTCACGACTGTTGCAGCATCCCCACGGTCACATGATCAAAATTTGGGTGCTTGGCAACCAGCAGGCATTTATGACCATTGCAGCATCCCGTGGCCATGTGATTGCCATTTGTACACTTCGCAGCAGGCTTCCAACAAGCAGAATCAATGGAGAAGCCAGCAGTAAAATCACAAGTTGTGGTCAGATGATGTTTTGTTTAATGAGTGCAGGTGATTCGCCTAATGACCACAGTGGAAGTGAGGTCATAAGCCTATTGCAGTCACACAATGTCTTGCTTAACAACCACGTCGCTTGGTGACAGAGTTGCTGGGCCCAATTGTGGTCATTAAGCGAGGACTACCTGTATGCAAAATTTTGATTCTGCAACTGAGCTGGGGACTATTTTCTTTCGTACATTTTTTTCTCTCACTGATACAAAAGGAAAGGAAATCAACCAATGAAAAGGCAAACACAGTACTTCCTGTGATCTAAAGCTCAGGGGCACAGGATATGCAGTGGTTTCTGTGGATCCGCATTGTCTTTGAGCTTGCTTCTAGCATACCTCCATCTTATGTTGTTGTTATTATTTATACTATCCAGCCCACTCCAAAGGTCTCTGGGCAGCTTACAACATCCAAAATACAATTTAAAATAATTAAAAACATGACAACAGAGCATTACAAAGCATAGCAGCCTACACAAAACAACCACTGCAATCAAAAACACAGAGTGGACAGAGGCTCCACTAACACACTAACTCTAGGACTTTGTCAAGATTTGTTACAACCTTGCTGAAATCTGTACCCCACATTAACACATTTTTGGTCACTCACTTAACTATATCAGCAGAAAGTACGAGACCTTCCAAACTGAGATTCTGCAGGCTGTGACATTTGCTAAGAATACTCTCGAGATCTGTAACTTTTATTGTAGAATTTGATAAATCCAGATGTTGCACACAAAGAGCTCTAAGAAAGAAAAGACAAACAGACAGAGGTGTGAAGAAAACAGTAGGGTTTTAGAACACAATTCTTTTTTTAAAAAAAGGACAATCAAAATCATAGAATCACTGAATTGTATAGTTTGAAGAGACCACAGGGATCATCTAGTCCAGTTTTCTGCAATGTGCAAGAAAACCAATTAAACCATCTATGAGTTTTACAACCTCCAGAGAGGGAGAACCTACAGTCCCCATAAGTAGATGGTTCGCTGCTATACAGAACTTACAGTCAAGAAGATTTTTCTTAGGTTCTATTAAAACAAAATCTAGGGAGCTACAACTTATTATTTCTGGACCTACTTCTCTGGTCATGGAAAATAGTCCTTCACCATCTTCCCTGTAGCTTTATGTTCTCGAGCAGGACTATCATGACTTCTATCACCTTCTTTTCTCCAAACCTCCCAAGTTGCTCACAGGACACCACCTGAAGTCCCTGTACCATTTGCAATGCCCTCCTCTAAACCTTCTCTAATTCCCATCTTAATACTATCTTAATTTGGAATCCTTCAAAAGCACTATCTTATATATTCATAAAATCTACATAGCACACATATGCAGGATTATGCAATATTTGCTTCACATAAAAACCTTCATACAACATATTTAAAATGCATTAAACCATTAAAAACAACTTGCTCATTTGAAAAAAGAACTTAACATTAATTTTTCCAATGTTTCCCCTACATTCAAGATCTTTTTTCTCTTTTTCCCCCTAAGACCACATATCCCTAAACATGCACATTTTAAACATTTTCCCTACAAATGTTTTAATTACAAATTGCAAATAGAAAGCTGGAACAGAAGATGCTGTCAATGTCTAGTCACAGTGTCCAGAGGGTAACAGACTCTGGATGGGACAAAACAGGCTGAAGTTGAGTGCCGAAGAGATGAAGTTGCTGCTTGTTCTTCAGGGTGCTCTGACTATTCCAGTATTGTCTCTATGGGGTGGCACTGCCCATACTTCAGGCCCTGCTCTGGCTTATAGGTGCAATTCAAAGTGCTGGTTGTCATGTATAAAGCCCTACCTAGCTCCTTCAACTGCAATCAACCTACACAACCCATGCAGTCTGGGAGAAACTGTTAATGGGGGTGTAGGCTCATAAGTGCTGCTTCTCTGTAGCAGAACCTGTTTTATGGAACAGCTTCCCTTTAGAATTAAATTGGCCCCCACCGTCCTAGCTTTCCAGAAAGGCCTGAAAACGGAAGGATTTCAGAGGGCCTACAGTGAATGATAACACATTCAGTTTGGTTTTTTTTAACTGTCCTTGGTGTTAAGGTTTTAGGATTTTATATATGTTGGTTTCTACCATGGACATTTTATTTAAATGATTATTTGCTTGTGATTATTGTAAACCAATGAGAGCCTTGCAGTTGGGGTGGCAGAAATAGAGGGAGGGAGGGAGGGAGGGAGGACCTCAGCCAATCTATTTCTCAAAGCTACATTTCTCATCAGGAGGGATGAAGGATGTGATCTGAAATGGGACTCTACAATGAAACCCAACACATTATACCATGCAAGTAGTAGACAACAGGGTATCCATACACACCAAACCTGACTTTTGAAAAAAGATAATTTTAATAAAAACTAATACTATAAGAAAGCTAGATGGTCCAAAACAAAGCATCAGCCTGTAGCATCATCGTTATTTTGTTTTGTGACTAACCATGCCCATCATGACAGCTGTCTTTTCAGTAGACAACTCTACCAGGGTGACTATTTTTTGCTCTCAGCCAAAAAAAGGTTGCCTATTCACACATTGACTGCACTGACGTCCAGCGCCAAAGTCTAGATCAGCTGACCAAGCCCCCATGTCCACTTGAAAATCTTGCTTTTTTTTTTTTTTGCAAGACAGACTACTGCTTATTAGTAGACCAGCAGGAATGAAACTGAAAAAATAAAGAGTATAATCTCATTTTGGTGCAGCATTTACCTGCTTGTTTCAAACAAAGGTGTCTTAATGCAGGACCTTGGACAGCGGAAGGCGATCACCCCCAAGGGCAGCAATTGACCAATCGCTCCTGGCCGAAGATTTTGATCTGCAAGATCAAGAGTTTGCCAGAGCGACTCATCAAGCCTTAAAAAAAGAAAAGGAAAAAAGGAAATTAATTTAACAGCAATTGAACCAAAAGCATTAGCAGAACTGAGATTGTCATTAGCAGACTGTTATACTACAAATCTATGCACATATAGTCAGGATTAAGCCCACATGTTAAAAAAATTATTAGTAAGGATATTTATGTTTTCCATGTTGGTTATCGCTATGGCAGAGTTGTAGAAAAAATTATCTACAGGCTATGTGTTTCCTCTTTCATGCAGTACTGTATGCATTAATCAAATTTAAAGGTGGAAAGAAATTAAAGGATGGATGAGAAATTTATGATCAGCCACTCATTTCTCAGAAATATCTCCTCCTTCTTTAGAGCAGTAGTACTTGTCAAGTGGCTTCAAGAAAGAAACCCAATTAATTTTTTTATAGGAACAGAGAGCTTCAAAGTTAGAAGCTATTATTTGAAAGTGGAAAAGGAGATTGGCAAGTAACATCTAAGTTATACTATACTCTTTATGGAGTATTAGCATGGACAAGATTTCTTCATTTTTCTAATTTAAAAAGTCTATTTGCTGTTGAATAATAGCTGTTCAAGTTCTTTGTATAAAATATAGTAAAAATCTTTTTTATCTACAATACTTTAATACTAGTAAATTTTATCAGTTTTTAAATGTTAAGCCTATTTACAAAAAAGGTTGAGTTTTTTGTAAATAGGCCTTTTAAGTCTTGGCTTTTTATACAATCCTGGTACATTTTTTATTAAATGTGGAGCCCTAATCAGGGGACTCATGTTCCAAATACATCTGGCAAGCTAAATAAAAGCTCATCTTTCTTATATTAGGGAAACCACTATATTATTTGAAGGGCTGCCTTGTTTTTTGTCCAGAGCTTTTAGAGCCCTGGGGATTTTAGCTGGTGGTTTTGAAGTGTTTGTATATATGATGTGCAATATTTATACACTGCAAACCACTCAGAGCAATTCGGGAGTAGGAGTATAGACATCTGTTAAAGAAAGACATACATATATTCATACATATATATGGGAAACATTGGTAGTAAGACGTATTGCACTATGAAAAGCAAATACATATTGCGTGCATTGCACAGAACTTCACTGAAAAACAGAACAAGAGCAAAAGTGATAGATCTGCTCAGGTCTAGATAGAAAATATTACAACTATTTTACAACCTGAAGCTAAAATTCCATCCAAATATCCTGCTATTATCTTTGCATATGGTGTATCGTTGCATCACATTTGACAAATAAAACTAAGCCCCTGAATTCCTACTGACTGTAATAATTAACAAGTCATATCAATGCTCAGCGGAAAGCCCAATCGATTCCGCAAACGTTAAAAAGAAAGTGTTTTTGTACATTTATATAGATTTCTATTTAGAAATCGACAGCCACTTACGAAAGGCGACGCCATCTCTGACAAACTCTGGAAACTTTCCGCAAATCAGTCAAGGTTAGATATGAAAAGATTCCCAACAGCAGCTCATCGGGCAAGGTATCCCAAGAACCTTTTGGGGATGAGAGGAAAGTATTATTGCACAGCGTGGCTGGCTGGGGAATTCTGGGAGCTGAAGTCCTCACATCTTAAAGCTGCCAAAATTGAGAAACACTGCTTTAACTGGCCCATTGCCTGCTGAACAAGGAGGCAGATAAGCAAACTTTCCAGCATCTTTTGCACTTTTAGAGCAGACCCTACTGGATTTGTCCAACTCATGGAGAACATTGTACTTCTTCCTTTCAGCAAGATATACCTGGCGCATAATTGTGTGAATCTGCATCGGTCAGTTAAGGTCACTCTACTATTAAAAAAGATGGGTAAGAAGTTTGATTTCTCTCATTTCCATCTTAGCTGGGTCATGCAAATTCCAGAAAGCAAGTGTAAGAAGCCTACAGGACTGGTGGTGTTCTCACTTCAAATGTACCTATTCAGACTTTGAGATATGGGTTAAGTGGGGATGTCATTCACTGGATGAGCGACAGGAGAGTACAAAAGGAACAGCCCTTTCAGATGCGGCACCACAGCTAGGACAACGGTCTGGTGCCCAACGTGTTTTATTTTAGCACTGGGGAAAACCCTTTCTATCTTCTTGGGCTGCTATCACAATTTATACTTGAGTAGTGTATGTTTTATTGCTATGAATTTTACACTCTATATAGTTGGGCTTTCAGAGCTCTATTTTGGGGTGGTCTATCAACATTGTTCATAAAACAAATCGAAGTACTGATCTCAAGTCCTTTATTTTGGATCCTACATGGTTTGAAACAATAATCCATACAGCACACACATACAGCACAATCCAAGACAGCTTTCAGAAATAAATCTTACAGAGCTCCACGTAACTTTCTTTAAGGTAAATAAAATGGGACTGCAACCTATGACAAACTTTCAGTAAGACTAAAGGAGTGAAACTCAGTCTCCAGAAAATGGAATAGTCAAATGTTGCCCAGGGTATTAAATTACTAAATTAATTTGCCTTTTTAATTATTCCCAACTGATAAATGTATTTGCATGCAAATTGTGACTAATATAAATCTAATTTTGAAGAAGTGCAGTCAGCCAGGAAAATAAATCTTTCAACAAAGAGTAAAGGCTTAAACTGAAAAATTAGGCATTAATTTTCTGCTCAGTTTAAGAAATACACTGTTCAGGCCCTGCACTGAATTAGTGTGTTGAGTGAATTCAGCCACTCTGGTTTGCAAATCATGGTTTACAGTTAGACTGTTATGTGAATCCAGCCAACTATTTCTTGTCAACAAACCAAGGTTAAGGAAACATAACCTACAATAGGTGAATCCAACCAGTCAGCTTGCTTTTATAATAAAAAGAAAATAAAATACTGCTATCAATTTAAGCTTTATCATTATCCATTAGCTAAGGATAGAATCCTGAATAGCTTTTTCAGGGGAGCAAGAAAAGGTCTTACCTGTTACTGTCTCTTGAAGCAGTCTAGGCTGGTGGACAATCACAAATGTGTTTTCCCTCACTTTCTGCCGTTTGGTGGGTGGACCCACATACATCAACAGATCCTGGGGGGTGTTCTCGCTGCCCAGTTTATCCTTAACAGCAGGCACTTCCATGCCCGAGAGCAGTTCTGAAGTCTTGCTGGGACGCCAACCCCATGGAACACTTGCAGTGACGTTACTGCCCAAATCTGGAATGTCCTGAAGATGTCTCCTGCCAGGATACAAAAGGCCCACAGCTACCATTTTAGATGCAATCCATAATAGCTCTTCAGCCAGCACATGAACAGAGACAGAAGCTCAACAGAAAGTGCCACAAATATGCTTCCTAAAATTACAGCTTTTAAAAATGATGCAAGAGGCACACACAGTCGCTTCTCCTTCAGAAAACTGCTGAGGACAGGGATTGCTCTATTCTGACAGGATGGTCAAAGATTTCAGTCAGGATACAGGAAGGATTTTTTTTGAGCCATGCAAGTTGGACATGACCAAAATGATCTTGCTGGAAACTTAGCCTGTCTGTACTGTATTCTGCTTGAACAGATCCTACAGTACTAGGAATTCACAATACAGGTGGCTCTGTTTTCCAGAGAACTGCACAACTGATATGACAAACACTGCCCTAATAAGGAAGCGGCCAGATGTCAATACCAGGACTAATAAAACTCAGAAACATTACTACTATAGAAGCAGAGAGATAAAAGTTCAAGAGATGTTTACTTTATCCTTTACTTGACTGGGATGCCTTCATACATTACTAAGTCATATTTTTTTATTTTTGACTCAGCATGTGGTACGAAGCCAACCACTGTATTGTAGAAAACATAGGTTTATTACTTACCGTTACAAGTAAATCAAAATAATTGTGGCTTTTTAATAAACTAGGGCTTATTGTGTGATGGATGAATTAAGCCAGGGAGATCTCATGCAACCAAAATAATACCATAAAAATACATACTGAATAAGGTACACAAATGTGTTTAGCAACGTAATAGGTATATTGGACTGGGAGACTCTGACTCTCTGCTGGTTGTAACTGTCACCAGAATTTGTGTGGATGGATGGAAGCCT